AAGCTTCTGCAGCTGGAGTGCAGGGAATACCCAGATGACTTGGAGATAAGGTTGGCCAGGTGTCAATGGGACAGTGTGAGGGCATAGGAGAAAGGAGGGCAAAGGGGAAGTCTCCAGGGTGCTGTTTGCCATCTATGTTACCGTATTTTTCAGATTATAAGACACAATTTACCCCCCAAATTTGGCAGTAATAATGGTTGTTAATGCTGCTGTTGAGTTCTGTTTACATTTACATTGGTGAAATATTATGTTATTTATGTTATTAAATATTTTACCACATTTTTTGTGTCAAAAATTTTTTTTCCTATTTTCCTCCTCTAAAACCTAGGCGCATCTTATGGTCTGAAAAATATGGTAATTAACAGAATAACAACTAAATTTTCTCATATAACCTCAGCTATCAGGACTTCAATCAGGAGCTTTGGTCACGGCTTCTGCTCTTGAAGGTTAAGTAAAACAATTGATGTGATATCAGGGCATGATCACACAGTACCTGCATCTACTATTTATCTCGTTCACCATTCTCCAAGCGGGTTCTTTGCTCCACCTTGGGACAAGCAGTCTGATGGTGGCAAAATGGGAGAATGGTGGCCTATACTGTTTTAAATCCCCTAAGCCTGTGGATTTGAACAGTAATTAATTTTTTCCTATTAAAGTTATTGCAGGAAACCAAGGGCAAGCATAATTCAGTCCAGGGAACAATGTTTATCTCCACAGGTCAAAAAGTCCCTGCAAATGATTAGTGCTTGTAATTTAAACAGTTTTCTCTCCGTTAAATGACATGGTCACATGCTTAGTGTAACCACTGAAGAATGTTAGGTGAAGGGCAGCAGGCTTACCCCAAATTGAGGGTATTATTAAGCACCATTTTAGGGACAATAGAAAGAAAATGGGCTATGGGAGACTTGTCCACAATGTCCACCACTGACTTCCCATTTTAATAATTTGATTTTCAGCTGAGAAAGAGGCATGAAAGATCCAGTAGCAGGATATATTGGATGACTTCAAGAACATAGCAAACAAATGTTCATATTTGATGCTGGCTGCAGGTCTTACTAGGAAGGCTAATTAAAACAGAATATAAAGGTTTACTTGTTCTGATCAGTCATTTTCTTGCTAGAGCAGATAAATTTCTAGAAAGGAAGCCGAGTTTTCCTAAATATGTGATTAATGTGATGCCACGTTCCTTTTAAACCTTTTTACACCATCTGGTTTTCTTTAAACCAAAGAGATGATTCAATAGTTTCTAATATTTTGTTACTAAAAAATAACATAATTTCTGTGCTCTGCTCATCTTATATGCATAAATATTTGTGCCTTATTGACTTTAAAAATTAATATCAGAGCACATCCAGAATGGAGACATGAGGAGCTCCCTGTATACTCTCCTTAATGAAACAGCCATAACTGATGAAAATTATAAGTAAAAAACAACAACAAAAACAACAACAAACTATTGGCTCAGACTATGAGGCAATTTATGCCTCAGGGCATTATCAAAAACACGGGAGCAGTAAGTTCCCAATTAATGGAGGCTAACAGAGGGGAGTGATCTCAATAAAGGCAAACCAGCTAAAAGCTTGATAAGGAGATGAGGGAAAGAGACAAAGAGAATCTGATGGAAACCACTGTCATCCCCCAGGGGAGGGAGAAGTCAGGGTGACACTGTGCATGCCAAAGCTTCAGTCTCTGAGGAGAGACATCAGAGGCTGCACAGTAGTGGGGGAAATAGACTTAACTGAATTGGTCTGGCCAAGTCACCAAACAAGTAAAGAAACAAACAACTATGACAACAAGCTCTGGAGCCAGTCAGGATCAGTCTCCAGAGCTGCTACAATGGAAATGTACAGTTTGCAACCAAAAAATTATAAGACATACAAAGAAAAAAGCAAGTGGTAACCATATATACAGAAACAGCCATTGAGAAGACACAGACGTTGGACTTGGCAGTCAACGACTTCAAAGATGCTATTATAAATATGTCCAAAAACTAAAGGAAACAATGCTTATGAGTATGGATTCAAATTTCCTCAAAAAAAATATTAGCACACTGAATCAGCAGCATATAAAAAGGAGATTATATATCATAACCAAATAGGATTGGTCTCAGGAATGCAAGGTTGGCTTATATCCAAAAATCCATTTGTGTAGCATATCAATAGCATAAAGGAGAAAACCACATGATCATCTCAATGGACACAGAGACAAAGCACTAAACAAAGCCCAACACTCTTCCATAATAAAAGTAGTCAACAAACTAGAAACAGAATGGAACTTCCTCGGTCTGATAAAGGGCATCTACAAAAAAAAAAAAATCTAGAGTAATTACATTTAATGGTAAAAGTCTAGGAACTATTCATGTAAAATTGAAAATAAGTTAAGGATGCTCACCTTTTTTATTCAACATTGACTGCAGTTTCTAGCTAAGGCAATCAGGCAAGAAAAAGAAATAAAAGGCATCCAGATTGAAAAGAAAGATGGAAATCAACCTGCATTCTAAAATGGCATACTCTGGTATAAAGGATAGTCTAAGAAATCATGAAAACACTATCACAACTAATAAACGAGTTCGTCTAGGTCCCCATTGGGAGAGCGGACTAGAGGCAATCAGTAGATGGTTCTCTCTCACATCGAAGTTTCTCTTCCTTTTTCTCCCTTCCTTCCCTTCTCTCTGAAAATAAATGAATAAAAAAATAGCCAAACGATTTACATAGACATTTTTCCAAAGGAAGTATACAAATTCAAAATAAAAACATGAAAACCTGATGTACAACATCATTAGTCATTAGGGAAATGCAAATCAAAATCACAATGAGATACCACTTTCACAACCACTAGGATGAGTATAATGAAGAATACAGGCAATAACAGGGTGTTGATGAGGATGTAAAGAAATAGGAACCTTCATACATGGCTGGTACAAATGTTAAATGGTGCAGCCACTTTGGAAAACAGTTTGGTGTTCCCTTAAGATGTTGAACATAGAGTCATAATATGACTTAGTAATTCTATTCTTAGTTATACACCCAAGAGAATTAAAAACATATTCCACACAAAAATTTACACATGAGTGCTTATAGCATCATTAATGTGGAATACTCATGCAATGGAATATTATTCAGCGATATACAGGGATGTAGAACTGATTATGTGATACAACATGGATGAACCTAGAAAACATTAAGCAAAGTTAAAGAAGCCATACACAAAAGACCAACATTGTGTGATTCCACTTATATAAAATGTTCAGAATAGGTAAATGCATAGGTAAATGCACTAGTGGTTGTTAGATGCTAAGGAGAATGGGGAGTTACAGCTAATGCATGTGTGGTTTCTTTTGGGGGAATGAAAATGTTCTGGTATAAGTGGTGATGATTGCATAACTTTGTGACTGTACCTAAAACTATTGTACACTTTAAATGAATGAATTATATGGTGTCACAATGATGCTGTTAAAAAACTAAGGTCATGCTTTCCCTGATAATCATAATTAAAAGTTTCATCATTCAGAAAATTTATAAGGTGGTAGATTGATACAAATTATCAATATTTCTAGGTTCTTGTTGATGACAAAGTAAGCAATAAGCCTTTTATGAAAAAAAATCACCTTCAGAGTATGCGATGAGGCCAATGATGAAGCATTTTTTCAAACTGCTAAGAGACTTTTGTAACTTACTAAAAGTCTCACTACCCATATGACATAAATTTCCTTTTCTAGAACATTATATAATCTTTTAAAATGGTCACAAGCATACTAAATTTCCCATTAATCCAATTAAAATTTCACAATCTCACTTCAGAAATAGTTTATGTTCCATAGCTAATTCATTCATATTTAATATGCTGATGCAGGTCCCCAATTGCCAAAAACCTTGATACCAAGTCTTCCAATAGGGATTTCTGTTGAGTATACAATACAGGTTTGTAACAGTTCAAGAACATACCAGGCTAAGTGTCACAAATGAGTCTGCTGAGTCAATCCCCCAACCCTATTTTATCATAGTAAAGAAAGTTACTTCTTTGATTATTCCAATCCTTTTAGCATGGGTTAGTGCAGGGACTGATGCAGGCGCTGGATTCATGCCACCTTTAATTGCAGTATGTGACAGAGCGAAGACCCGTGGAACGTCAGGGACTACGCTACAAGGACGGACTCCTTATAATTCTTTGTTAGCCAGTTAACAACAACAACAAAAAAGCTGATGGATGGATGGTTTGGATGGATGGATGGCTTGGATATTCATAGTGCACTAGGCAATATACAAGGGCTTCAAAGGAAGAAAATTCTGTCTTCCGTCGTATTTTCTAGTTGAGTTTCCTCCTTTATTACATTCTTTTATTGCATTTATTACATTGTTTAATTCTTTCTATGGGAGAGCAGGTAAATTCTTTCTATGCCGAGCAGGTAAATAAAATTCTTGTTCCTAAAATAAGCACTGTATAATTGAGATGACTTGTGCAATTGGCAGGGAGCTTTCATGACAGAAAAAAAGTGTAGATCGTCTACAATGATTTGAGATACCCAAGCTGCTGGATTGAGAATTTCCGCACCGACAGTTCCTCGGGCGCAAGCTGGAGTCAGACGACCAGCGAAAAAGTAGAGCGCGCTACACTTAAGGAACCTCACGTCCCAGAATCCCCTGGGGACTCCAAATCCCAGAAATCCGCTCCGGAAATTTACCGGGTTCCCAAATCCGCGGACCACGGACGCGACCAAGTTAGGAAACTGGGGTGATTGCCGCAGCTTTTGTCTCCTACCATTTTCCCTATAGGGAGAGGGCTATGGTTACTAGAACCTTCTCACTCTCTCCGACAAGACTTTCCCGGAAGACCGTCTCTCGGCGTACTTGGTGTGATGGTTTGCTTCTCCCATTCTCTCTCCTCCTTCTCTTTGCCCTCTGTAAGAATGGTTCATTCGGACGTCGAGGCTCCTGGACTTGGCTCGGTGGTTGCGCGCTCCCTCCCCCGGAATGTGGGCCTTTCGAGCCTGCGAGGTGGGAGGGACCCTGCTTGGGAGGCGTGCTGGCTTCTGGCAGCTGTAGAGGCGGTGGCCACCGAGGGCTGTGGGAGGAGCCGCGTGGTTCCGGCTGCCGAGGCGAGGCGACCCTTAGGTCCGCGCCGCGGGCGGGGAGGACAGGTAGGGGAGCGGACAGCCGCGGCTCTGGGGGAGGCTCAGGCAGCGGAGTGCCCCGCCGCGCCCCCCGCACCCTCGGCCTCTGGCGTTGAAGCGGGGGAGTAAGGAGATGCCTACCCAGAGGGACAGCACTACCATGTCTCACTCGATCGCAAGCGGCGGCTTCGGGGACCATTCTCACCAGGTTCGGGTGAAAGCCTACTACCGCGGGTGAGTGCTTCGATATAGGGATGGGAGGGGAGGGGAAAAGCCATCTGGACTTGGCCTGTTAGGGGAGAGGGGCTGGAAATGTTGTGGCGGGTTGGTCCTGGGGGGGCGACTCTGGGGACTCGGGATGGGTGATCGAGTAGTCGGGGGAGGAACGTGGGGCGCTAGATTGGGGCACCCCCAAGGTGTGGTGCAGGGCGTCTGGGAGTCGTGCGGCTGAGGGTCCAGAGTAGGTTCCGAGGGAGGAGCCTTGGAATAGAGTATGCCCACCTGGTGGGTTCCAGAGAATCGCTTAGTAAGAAATTTACAAGGGTTTACGTCATTAAGTCTGGAAGTATTTGGGGTTGAGAGTTGATTCCGGTCGATGTTTCAGTGAGCTAAGTTTGCTATCGACTTAAAAGACTGGACTGCTTCAGTCTGCTGGCCCTTTTGATTTCCAACAGGCCTAAAGCCTCCGGCTCCCTAAGTCATGATTGCCTGGAAGAGTTCACAAAGTGTATACGGACTATGTTCAGGCTGCCAGCAAATTAGACATAGGGGTTATTATTTAAGAGGAAAGCTCATACGTTTTCAGGGATGTGCATTAGATACTTAAGTGTGTCTCCAAGATTAGACTGTGGATGTGTAAAGTAAAATTCTGCGAACACTTCTTAGTCATTATTGCTTGAAGGACCATCTCGTAGAGTGAGATAAAGCAAGGTGAGAGGAGGAAGCCTAGGGCACAGCTAGAAAATCTATAACCTTTACTCATATTATTATCTAAGTTATAACTACTGTGGTTACCAGAAATAATCCAGCCCCTCAGATCGTTTATTAAATTATATTCTGTAATCAGTCACCTGAAGTGTCCCCTTTCCCTTGAATTCAGTGAATTCAGTTGTGTTTTGAAATTTCTTTGAGATAACTATATTTATGAAAATTAGAAAGGTTAGCATGTTAGTGTGAGAATAAAAGTTTGAAACTAAGGGTTAACAGAAAACCCAACCGTTTTTGGCGTTCTTACTGCTTGTCCAAGCAGAAGTAAATTGCTTTAAAACACTCAAACACTAGAAGGTTGAAATTGCAAAGCATACTTTTACATTCCTGAAAGGATCAGTGAAGATAGCGAACTTTTAAAATGCCTCTCGTTTTGATTTCAAAGCAAATATAAGCCTCCAATTGTCTTACTGATTTGATGTAAAGATATACTAGTTTAGTTTTGGTTTCCGTGACCTGTGTTTATTAGCTTGACTGTATTCGGAGGAGTTTACAGGTGTTATTTTGAACAGTATCAGTGTTTTTGCTTAAATTGATCAAGGAGGTCTTGATTTTAAAACAATACTAAGAACCGTGTGTAGGTTTTTTTTAAACGTTTGTAGTTGTCACAGTGGACTTGAGAATGGTCAGCTGTGACCTTTGAACTATGGGAAAAAGCTTTGCTTCCCTTATCTTACCTTTAATTTGATAAATGAGATATTTCACTTTAGAGTGTTCCATTTTATAAAGGCGACAGTCCGTGAGTTGTTTGGTACAGAGAATGAACTATACTACCCGTTTTTTTAAGGTATCTGATTATTGACAGCTTAAAAACTAGATTAAGAAATGAATATACACACATGGTAGAAAAGTGCAAGTTGTACAGATATAAAAGAAAAAAATGTTCCCCATTCCACCCTCCCAACCTCCAGAGTTAACTGCTGTTGACAGTCTATTTCTCGTTCTTCTGGAGGTTGCCTTTATTACTTTAAAAACTATAGTTCTGTTTTGTGATTTATTAACTTTAGATAATATCTTTTGATACTCTGAAAGATGAGAAATTGGGTGCACTTTTACTTTTTCTCATGCTGATGCCTCTCAATTTTTTATTGCTAATCTATTATTATTTTTTGTTCTCTGGTTTACCTTTATGATTTTAAATAATGTAAATCCCTGACCTATTAGATTTAGATAGTTTCCAATGACCCCAACTATGAAAAATGGGGAAACTGGTGCTTCTTTCTTTGTTTCCATTTTTATTAGTCTGACAAATGTAAATAGGCCTAATTAGTAAATTAAAATCATTGTAAGCTTCTCATTTGGAAAGAAATCAATGTCTGCTATACTTTAGGAATGTATTATATTTTCATGGCTTATTGCTTCAACATAACCTTTTTAATGCGTGACTAAACTTTCTCTGACATTCAAGTTAACGTTTTCTTTGTTTTAAAAAAAAAAGTATGCATTTTTGCTTAGGAATGAAAGAAGCCCTTGCCTCTCAGTGCTTTTAGTTCAGTGGAAGCTTTCTAGTAGTGCCTTGATTTTAAGCCTTATTTAAAGACATCAGCACTGTAAACTGTACCAATTTCTGTCCTCTGAAATTAGATCTGTGAAGACTATGTTTATGAACAATAGCCTAAACTGATGCTTCTGATATTACAGTCAGCTGCTCATTACTTCAGATGAAACTAAAATGAGTCACCAATAAGAATAGTTAATAAACAGGTTGGGTAACTAGAACACCTACCTGATTTTAAAATAGAAAATCTTTTCTTTTTATCAAGAAATGTAAAGACAATCTGCATTGGGGAAAAAAATAATTTTCCTTTAGATCCCAATGGCTGTTATTGAAGAGCTTTCCCCTTATATCCTTCTAATAATATTTCTTTCCAGTGAATGTTGAATATCCAATTAGCATTTCGTGCATAAATTGAAATCCTTTCAAAAATGTGTGCTTGTATAGTGTTTTCACTCTGTTAAATTTGTTTTGTGCAAATGTGATGTCTCCTAGATATAACAGACATTTAATTAGATTTTTTCTGGTGTTTAAGCAGGAGATTAATGGCACTGAGAATCTGATTTAATTGGGGACCACCTAAGGGTGCCTGTCTTACAGCCTGGACCTTTCTTTCCTTGCCATGGTAGCTTGTCAGTGAGTGGCCTTCCTTCTTTAATCATTACCTAGTGGTGTCAGTTTGAAGGAAGAGAAACAGGTTTTGTTGGTTAGTGATAGATTGCCATTGGATGTGATTATTCTTATATAAAGTCACTTGATATTTTGGAATCAGATTTAACAAGGAAATGTGTGCACTGCTCAATTCTTTACATTGTAAGTGTATGGGAAGTTTGTAAAAAGCTTGCAAAATATGCTTTGTAAACCACTGCTGTTGAGCAGTTATAACAATCCAGAGGATCCTCCATGTTCACATGTACTCATAAAAAGATCATTAACTCATTGCACATTTGGAACATATAGCTGGTTCAGTGAAGAAATAGGCTGGGTTTTTTTTTTTCACTGTTAACAGGTCTTGGCAAGACTTGTTTTTAAAAGTATTGCAAAATAATATACTTCAGTAATGGTTCAAAGGAAATAAAAATAATATACTGAGTTGAGCGTTGGGGGAATGTTAGTTACTGGTCTTGGAGCTTGAGGCATGGTACCTAACCATAGGGATCTATAGCTTTACTAGAGAGAGAGAAAGGGCCTGGTGGCCTGGTGCCAAAAACCCAAACCAGCACAGCCCTCTCAGAAATTTGAATTACATTATATGAGATAAATTGCTTGTTAGCAGTGAGAATTGAGGGGGGGGCTGGTGAAACCAGGACCGACCATGTGCAAATTGAAGGCCTGGTGAAGCAGGGGAGAAAGAAGCAGTTCTCTACAGAATTCTCCCCTAGAGGTCAGGTCCATGATAGCTTTCTGATACAACTCCCAGATCTCTTTCTAAGGTGACTTGAGTGTTTGTTTTTTATGATTGAAATGAGCCTAGTTAAAGACTGAATTTTAAAAGTTCCAGTCTTGTTTCCAATTTCACCTATTACTTACCTAAGTGTGTTTAAATTCAGTGTAAGAAATAACCTACTATAAGCCAGGCACATGGTACTAGGGTGAGCACAGAGGATGTAGAGGTGGATAATACAAGGCTTTGCGCTTGAGGAACTAAGAAACTCGTAGGAGGAAAGACATAGAGTTAATTAAGGGTTGTGTATGTGTGTGTGTGTAAGGTACTTGCAGGGATGGATATTGGGGAGGAGTTTGAGGTGAGGGAAGCCTTCCTGGAGAAGGAAATCTGTGAGGCTTTAGATGGATGTTGATGTTGGGTGGGGCATCATTCCAGGCATTGCACAACTGCACGAGGTGTTTGGGGAACTAAGAGCAGTTTAGTTGTTTAGTTCTGTTATGCACTCCTTATTAGGGCATAAAGTATGAAGTGGGCACTGCTGAGATGTGAGGTTAATTAGACGACGGTTCACAGGCACTACTTCTTGAAGACTCTTGAAAATCATACTGCAGGCTTTAGACTTTTTCTCATTGGCAAAGATTTTGAGTACACGAGATCAGATTTTTGTTTTTACAAAGATCACTCTTGGAACCTAGAGATGAATTGCCACGGATAAGACTAATTTGGAGGCTTTGGAAGTAGTCCAGGTGATAACATTCTGAGGAGATGGAAAAGGGGATATGGATTCAGTGGTGATTTTAGGGGGTAGAATCAATGTGAATCAGAAGACTGACGGCCTGTGGGGAAGAGAGGGAGGCCTGACGATTCACAGGTTTCTTATTTGAGGGAGCCTAGTGATTATAGAAGGAAGAGATTTATGAGAGAAGGTAATTAATTACCGGGAACAAGTAACCGAATTTTGAGCTCACGGTACTTTGAGGGCATCCAGGTGGAAATGTGTGGAATTACTGAACAATCACTGTGTGTGTGCACACGGTGCACTGTGCGTGACAGCTGACCCTGTGGGGGAATGTGGCTGAGAATGACGCTAGAAACAAAAATTCCACTCTACAGTGGTCTGCTGTAGATCACAAAAGCAAGGCACTAAAACTAAAATTTTTAAATGCAGAAATACATAAAGTGGAAAGCTCCTCACTTCCTAGGGTAGCCACTGATAATAGTTTAGGATATTCTATATCATATAATTTAAATAGGTACGTATTTTTCACATGTTTCTGCGGTTGATTTTTTTTGTTTATAATCATCTTTGCATATCAGGGTAGACAGATAAACAGATATATACATGCATATAGGTGGGTAATAGAT